TTCACTGTTATATTGGCCAGTGACCACCAAATTGGACTGCCTGCGTAGCCAATTTTCGTCCAGAAAGGAATTGGGGAGTCTGTAGTGCGAATGGTAAATGTGGCAACTTCCCCGTCTCGTGAACTGCTTTAGTTTTTACTTTGCAATTGCACAATACATTTTTGTATGCAGTAGATTGACGCGACAATCAATTTAACTAGATAATTTCGCACGTTTCTCCTGCAGCCCTTATGGAATTCTAGTATGGCCGCCATCAAACAGTATCTATTCACATCTTCAGTTTTACCATCCGCGCGCGCACACGTTAATGCAAACATGATGGTTGTGAAAGAAATGGAGGTCACGTCTGCGCATCCGAATGCTATTAGAGAGGAGAATAACAGGCGAATTCGATGAATATGCCACAGAAGGTTTACACCATGACAAAATAAATTGCGCGCGGGGATGTGAACCACAAGTTAACGGTAACTGCAAAAATGGACCTTAAAACTCTGTGTGTCTGTAAACATCGCCTATTATTTACCGTTCCTATTGTTTGAAGTTTCCCTCCCGTCCTGACTAAATTTTAGCTGTCCAGCGGAGCTTTATTCAAAGTTCGTCATTTATTGAAAATTGCTTTTTGTTTATTTTACAGTTATCGCGCTCACTTCCTTTGTTCAATGACAGCGTCCGACAAGAGCTTTCCTGAAATTGATCAATGTTCGATGCAATGAAACTGGATCTGCGCTTAAGTAAATGCTTCTCGAAGGACAAATGCTTCCCATCGTCGGGTCGATCGTGGCGGGCCGCGTCCAAACAATTTGCCGATATAAGCGGAAATGAGAGTTCCACGAACGAGTTGATAAGAAGTAGAGGCGATCGCTGGAAGAAGGGCTTTATTCACCCGACATTTCGGATTCTCAGTTAAACCTATCATCAGACAGAAACGGTTAGGAGACCATAGAACCAGGACAAGGCCGTTGCTTGGGCTCTTGCCATGCGTTGGTCGGTCAGTGTTATTATGTCGCTGTCTCTGGTGATTTCTTCAAATGAGAATTCGAAACCTCTAGTGAATAAAGCCCTTGTTCCTGCAATCACTTCTATTTTTTATTTTCAGTGTCATCTTCCTCTCCGTCCTATGTTTTGCTCCGCTCGTAAAACCCCCCCTAAAACCATTGAACGTATGAAACGGTCCACACGCTAGCTCAATTTAGCTGTGCATCCTACATTCTTTCGTTGCCCATGCCTTTTATCGTGTCGTTGCAGTTAAGAAACTGAGCAGTGGTCAGGGGTGACAGCAGGCTAAAACGGCTCGCGGTTCAAGACGCAGATGTCGAAAGCAGTACATGGTCGACGTTAGTTCGCACGGTTGCAGGACCAATAATTAACAGACACTGGGTGTTTCACTACAGGGTTGCACTTTCGGCCAACATCTCTGCCTTAGTAGGCCGAAAAATAAGGTTTCATATCCCCAACAGTTTGTCGCCGGTTGCTGTTTGGAAGAGAAGGTAGGCTAAATGGCAGCGAAAAACCCTGCTGCGACGATTGCTGTATGTACACCAATCGTTCCATCCTTCCGTTCACTGCGTCCTATTTCAAGGCAATGTCTTTGTCTGATTCCCCTGTTCTCATTGTTTGAGCGCCCGGTGCAGCATGTTGACAGACACTCGCCTGACGTCTGAGCCGCTGCGTAGCAAATGATTGGGGAGGGGGGGCGTGCTAACTTCTGGTTCATCAACGGGCTTCGTGAATGGGACAGACCTTCGGTGAGGCGGCGGTTCCCTGCCACGCGTAGCAGTCGGACGACGAGCATGGTAAGTCAAGTTGCGGTCTCCCGTAACACTCAGTACGCTGAAACAAACGATCTCGGCTAATCGAAATCCAGTCGACCGTAGGTCCTTTCTTTACGTAAAGACAACATACGTAGTTGGGATTTTTCATTTGGTCCATATAATTTTCATTGACGGAAATAATAACGCAGACGTGAGTCGTTGGCACCACATGTACTTTATAAATGAAAACAAACTACACTTTCTCTTCTCACTGGTTTGATAAAGTCAGGAAGGGAGGTCTCATTCTTGTAAAGGATAGAAGAAGGTTTTCTGATTCATCGACGCGGTGTTTGGTAAAGGCTGTTCATTGGGCGGCATCTTTTATTTCACAATCGAAATTCTGAGTCGACAAATTCCACAATGTTTTCAACTGAAATCACAAGAAGCAAAGTAAGATTAAAATACTTAGACATCATGAAGAATGAGTTGGGTACTTTAAAAACTATTTTGCGACGATGGCTGTGGAGATATCTACACTCCTGTCCGGTTTCCTTGTCCTGCTGTCAGAACAAAGTTTTAGAATACATTTCTGTGCTGATATTTTCGTACAAATAAAGGTCAGATGTGGTTATGTGGCCTCACCTGAAGTAAACAAACCCCAGCCGCCTGTAATAAGGGACCGGTGGCAAAGGGGTTTTTAAGAGGTGGGGCGGGGAACGCACAGGCGACGAGGTCACGTACGTGTATGCAAAAGAAAAGCTATTGGAGATGCACGGTTGTAGTTTGATTGAGTGAGAAATAGTTGCCCTAAAACGTAAGCCTAACATCTACCCCTAACCCTAATCATTAGTCTCAACCCCAACAGCATTGATTTCATCAGGTGTAGCTGGATTCAAATTCCAACGAGGTCACCGATTTTATCCCAGTCGCGCAAATTAAATTATTTAAAATATGCTAAATATGTGACAGACCCATAAAACTCAGTGAGAGATATTTATGTGACCTGTAAGATTATTCATACTGTCGTCATTTGTGTATTGTAAAATAGTAAACGGTGTAAATATTCACGCCTGGAATAGAGTAACTATATTAGTCATTTTATCAATAAACGGCAGGTCATTTTATGAAAATACTAGCAGTAGTTCCTATTTGTGCTACCTTTGACGGGAATGAACACTAAAATTTAAGGCGTTAAGCTGGTTCCACGGTAATTTATATTTTTGCTTAAGTCCAAACGAAATCTAACTGAATCACAATCAAAGCTTTAATTCCTCCATATCTCCCACGGCGTCATTAACTAAGACCATGTATACGTCCGATTTATGCAAGGGCTTACATCTCATAAGCATACAGTACCGAAAATCACGCAATGAAAGCATATACGTAAGCGCCCTGTCCACTTCAAAGACATCCCCAGCTTTTGCGTGTGGAACATGTGTCTCCGTCTGGATTTGCTTCTTTCGGCCGATTTTCACCCGTTGGAGGGACAAGGTGTCGTTGGCGTGACGTCGAAGTGTTGTAATGGCTTGCATGTTGTATCCAACGGAGCCACCGTTTATAGCGGCGAAAATGCCCTCCTATTGAACACAGGAAATGAATAACTTCCATTTTTACAATGCTGAATCATACCATCCAAATAATAGACACACGGATTGATAATAATAAATTACAGGGACGTCATACGATTTTCCCTCGGCTGATCTCTTTGCACGTCGTAGATACAACTGTTTTTAATATCTGACTGTCAGTTGAAAGAGTAATTAACATTACAAATGCACAAAGGCTACTAAGTGGTCGCTGAACATGAGGCCGAGGCGCGGCCGGATCAAACCCTTAGATGAATCACTTTATAGTTCTGCAAATTATGTACAGCTATATAAACAGTTAGGTAGGAAATTTAAAAAAAATATTCCCCGAGATACTTGCAATATTTTTTCAACTCCTTCCCCAAAAATTCCAACCAAGTTATTTGATCTGGATTACCAGAACATTTTGCCAGATTTCGAAATAACTAGTCCCGCAGATGTTTTACGACTCTGTGTGCATGTGTGTATCTACAGGCACTCATTTCACGCGTTTTCTTCCAAAATAGCATAACTTACCTCGCATGAAAACGAACCGACGATGAAAGTCACATTCAGCTCGCAAGTTATTAACCCAGGTATGGCGTTGGCATCATCGTAATTAGTGCAAACACCATCCTCTCCGAAGTTCATGGTCCTTATTGTAGAATTGCAGGGGGTCTTCCGTATCCAGAAGAATCTGCGGACTTCTCCGACGGATTTTGACAGAAGATGTTGGGCGTTGAGCGGAGACAGCTCATCTAAGATTGCTGGACACTCGATGCTGTCTAGAATTTTGGATGCAGGTTGCAATAATGAAGATAGGAGGAATCACTAACCTGGATTTAAAACGCATGCAGTTACGATTATGGAAAACATGTTCACATGAAGCAGTAGTATAGTTTGATGCATCATCTGCATGTGTGCATCAAGTGTAAGGATGCCATGGGATTGCAGGACTGGTTTAAATATGTTTGCGTGATGTAGGCAATTGGCTGTTCTCCAGACAGACAGGTCACGGTTTGCAGCAGGCACTTGAATCTTTTCAGGCACTACCTGTACCCAAAAGCCCTGGTTAATCCATTACGTAGATCTGCAAAAACATCAACACATATAACATCAAGTAAGTGTCATCTGAGTTAAGAATGTCTCCTTTCATTTTTTCCAAGAATGATCAGAAGTTTAAGCGAACAAATATGTTGACAGGGCAACGTATTCACACATCTGAGGCCAATATTAATTATGCATGAATAGACAAGGCAGAGGTAATAACAGCTCATCGATTGGTGCACTTACGAGACTGTCATTCGAGGTCAAATTTAAATGGTAGGACCTAAGCGCTGCTACTCAGGGCGCATGTCGCAACGCTGGGCCTCTCGCGATCGTCTACACGTGCGCACCAGGGCTGTCTGGCGTTCGTTAAATCGGCTTCTCAACTAGCCAATCAGATTCAAGGTGGAGTCAGACGTGCACTGCTCTAAGACGCTTTAGCGCATTCCCTGATGGACACTTGGGACGCCGCCCTCCCAGCTCCGGGCGCGCACCTCGTCCGACTGCCCCTGCCGCGTTTCCAGTTATTCTCTACAGAATACACCATCCTCTCAACTGGCGTCCATCTCCATCCGGGACCGGTTTTGAAGGTCCTAGTAGCCAGAGTCACACTCTTGGGCATTTCCATGTGAGAGACATGGTCAAGCATCCGTGGTCATCTTTCTTGCGGTCTGGATTAATTACTTGTGATTTATTTTTACATTCACAGCAGGGTATATGTACTGTTATCTTATGGAGACAAAGAGAATCGCCTTTGTCTGGCACATTCAAAATATACCGTTTACTGATAAATTATCAGACCTTAGGAATCGCCGAAGATGGATGTTGGCAGATCGCAATCATTTCCTCGATCGTTTGCGTGTGAAGCGTCGTCACGTGGTGAGCAGTTTGCCTCTTTTATCCAGCCTGCTATGTATTTTTCTCATATATTGTTACAATCAAGGCATAAGTCAAAATATTGTGAAATATTGCACGTCATTTCGCCTGAAGAATGAGCGGCTAGATTGTAGTTGGCAGCCAGGCCCCGTATTACAGGTTGCTGGGGGGTTTGTTTACTGGGGCTATGTTGTGGGCCTCCATAATCACATCTGATCCATTTGGCTTTCGTCTTACGTTTGAGGTTAGGGTTAGGGTACCGGTTAATGGTTTCCGTTTTTCGGTTTAGGGTTATACATTTAGGCTTAGGTTTTATGGTTATGGTTAGGGTTTGAGCGTGCAACTAGGTTTCAGTATTACGGTTAGGTTTCTCAATTACATCCACATACTACTGTCTTTTGCAAAATCAATAAGGTCTTATTCATCTCAAATACGGATTCAGCAAAACAGAAAGGAAAGCATTGCAGAGGAACCCAGTCGCCACTGGTTAGCCATGCTCGTGGGAAAGCAGGTTTTCAACTGGAACGCATTTTTCGGGCAAATTGCGCAGATCTGTGAAGATTTCACAAGAAATCCTGTCACGTGATCAATATTTTGAACTCCATAGGTCAGGCAGTGCAATTTCGGACAGTCCGCGACAAAGTGCTTCAAAAATCATATGTAGTAGAGTGTGATTACCAATAAAGACAACGGAGACCTGAATGGCCATTTCCGGCTTATTAGCCGTCGTCAGCCTGTCATACCCAACCCCGAGTGTGGAACACCTGGGACTCGAACTCGCGGCCTGTTATTTGGAAGTCCAACGCCTCTTACCCCGGGGCCACGGACCCGTTGCACGATCGATCGGTGAACGCCCCTCTACCATTATATTCAGCCATATTCATCCTTTGTCCTCAATTATGTTCCAAAGTTGCCCTATCAGATTAAAAACAATTTTTGAATCACTCGAATGGCATTAAATTGTTTTTCCCATTACCCCATGAAAATATTATAGAAGCAATTTATTTGTAGGGGTCACGTCCTATGAGGTCTGTATGCCAGTTCATAGGGAAAACCCCAACCCAACTTTAGTAATGAATTCTGCCACTGTGTAATAGTTCGCGATGTGATCACATACAAATTATACGGCGGGTCTTTCGTTGACTGTCTGTCTGGCATGTTGTTCGCATAATCTATTCCCACACAACCCTCACGTGTTGAATTATGTTAGAATGAACATTTCCATCAGCCACCTCTGGCTTGGATCAGCCTAAGGATAATTTTTAACGTTGTGCTAGTTTAGTCTCATTTCTCTCTATGTACTCCTCCATATTGGTTAGGTCAGCAGGGAAAGCCCAAAGTTATATGGATTTATACCGAGAGATAAGGACACACTTAAATCAGTCCAAACATAAAAAAATCGCATCAATACTACAGATGTGGAATTTAGCTGTTAACGGTATCTTAGGAAGCAGTGGATTCTAATGTGCAGAAGTCCGTTTGCCTGCAGTCTGGGGCGATTCCAGTTAAAGAAGTTACTGAATTAACTGAAGAGGTCATGTGAAATTCTGTGTGCCTCATGTCAGACGGCATGCTGGGTCCACGCTCATGAAAATGAACTTACGATGCCGCATTTTGGAGATGACAATACCGAGGGGAGTTATGGATATCTTTTGTAACTTGGGGTGCAAATTAATCGATTTATAAGGCTCACAGTTCAGGTAAGCTATAAACCCAAAAGCCCTTGCATACCCATGAACAGAGCTTAGCCCTACATAACATTTGCCGTCTAGCTAAGGCTGAGTCCAACGAATTCACAAAGTCGGGAAATTTTGCAGTTTTTCACCTGTCGATTCTATGACTCATGCCGTCTAAGTTTGTTTCTCAGCGAACAATAAACTGTGAAATTGAACTACAATCTCCTGTTGTTGGCACAGTGCACTGGGGTTATTGGTGGAATCTCGCATAACGTTGTGGCTAGTTATCAACGTTTTGCACTTCATCGGTCACACTAGGTAATTTCGGACTGTCCGCGGTGAAGTACTTTGAACGTTTCCTTCAGTCAACTTTGTCATTGTTTATCTTCAGGTGCAGAGTGACTTGATCTGTTTAAGTGCAGTTTTGAACTCTTTAATGGTATTCAGTGGGTTTCAGTCAAACCTATGGAAAGTATTATGGGAGCTCTTCACTTGAATTAGTCATAACCTCCGAGTCCTGTCTGTCAGTTCGTAGGGAAAACCCCGATCAAAATGTACTAATTAAGTCTGTCATTCCATAATAATTTGCGATGTGACCGCACCCAAGCAATGCGGCTTTTGACTGTCCGTCTGACCTCTGTTGCCCACATAATCTGTTCTCACGTCACGTGCACCTGTAGTTTTATGCTTCGTTAACTATCATCTACATATGATTGGCCGAGTATAATTGTAACTGCTTAGTTAGCCTTCTCTAATTCCTTTTCATATTCACCTCCAGATTGGGTAATTCAACAGAGAAAACCTAAATTTATCTAGATTTAAAATCAAGAAGCTGCAGCACTTTTATAAGGGTTTGATTAGCACCCAATGTGGGTTAAAGTGCAGATATCCGTTTATCTGCAGTCTGGGGTCATCCCACTTGAAGCAGCTGCTGAAGTAAATGAAAAGATCATGCGAATTTCTGTCTGTACCATGCCAGACAGCAAGCAGTTTCTACCCCTGTGAAGGCGAACTTACAGTACTATTCGATTTTTAATGTTGAAAGTGTAGGTGACGAGGGCAACAGCGAGGTCCACACGTAAAATCCTTCACACTACGTGCAGCTCAACTGGGAAATTGTACTATTCTTCCCCTCTCATTTTTTATTCGTGCTGCCGAAATAAATACCATAGTTCCTTTATCTGCGAACTAAAAAATCGTTTACGAGGATAAAATGCACGGGGGATTATTGGTGGAGGCCGGTTATTGTAAATATGAAAATAATTGTAGGCATACAGCTCATACTCGGAAAGATACACTTTGAGCTATTTAAATTTATGTCTCACAAAAGATACGATTTAAGTCAATAAGCGTGAATATACGACTGAGACACGTCTCCTGCATAAAAATGTATAAAAGCTTAGGGGAGTTTATTCTGCGCTAATGCCACTAATCAATCTCAAGCAATGTTGACCAAAACGCTGAAATATGTTTTTAAGCGAAAGGGACTCTTAAATGACGTTATTATATTAATTTTCTTGCAGTATAATCCTATAAAATTTCAGTCGTTCCAACATGCCGGATTTTGAGTAAATATTGTTTCGCCTGTCCGACATTCTCGCTGATAAAGACCGAATATTTTCAGCGTACGCGAAACCATACATTTCTTCACGGTATTAGGAGGAGATCATATGGATTTCCTGAAATTTGGCAGTGGATTTGAGCCATATAGTAAACTTTACAAGTTCAGTTAGCAAATACAGAGACACACTCTTTTGGGAACAGGCAATTGACGGTATTAAAGAACCTCATATTTAAAAACTTTTTAGAACAAAATAATACTCCCTTTTCAAGCAAAAAATTAAATGAAAACGTTATTTTCTAACAAATTAGTGAAAAAAAGAAAATTTTGATGTATTTCTACAAGATATATTTGAATTCATTATGACGACGAAAATCAGTATGACAAAAATAAGGTTACTTAAGCTGCCGCTTTTTACCGAATAAGGTTTTTAAATGCGGCTTCAAGGGTTTTCGTTCGAAAGCCGGTATCCTGAGGTAACTGAACTATTATAGAATTATGCTACATGATAATTAATTTTACAACCCTACTTAATCAATCATTTCCAAACAAAAACGCATTTCAGAATTTCGGTTAACGTTTCATGTGTAGGCCCACCTACTGTAGGCATTCAGTTCATACTCAGAAAGTTACGCACTAATTCAAATGGATGAAACCAATTATTTGTCCGCTTGAATCGAAACAACACAAATATAACACATATCTACCAGATTACGTTGAATGAACATATGCCCAATTTTGTATATGTCCTTCTATGCCAAAATATGAAAGATGCGTACCACCTTATCCCTGGCATGCAAGATTAATTTTGCGCACAGCGAAAGCAGCATTCCCGACTTGTGCAAAAAATTTCGTGAATGTCCAGGCAGGTGTGTAGCCTACTCTTCCGTACTTTATTGTAGTTTAGAGCAAAAATATGGGTGCGACATTTTAAGACGTAAATAATTTCTCAAGAAGAGTGCTTGGTAACCCTAAAGATACTTGTATTCCTTTGACGTCTCATTATTCTGCGAAGCTACTTGAAATGACAGCCTTTATATGTTTTGGGCTTTTGCACCTATAGTCACTGCGTAGATGTCAAAACAAAAACAATATAAATTGTTTCATTCGGTAATTAATTAGCACGTTTTTATTTTTTTCGTTTATTATTTATTTACTCTGCTGTTAGATGATTCTGCAAATGGAATGGAGAGTATTGTTTGGATTTACAACTTTTATTGCTCACTTTAATTTCAAGGTTGTGAAGCGACTTATTTTTTTAGATAAGGCATGTGAAACGAAGGCACTCTATTTTGCACTGCTGACCGTACTGTGTCCGTATGGGCAACACCCAACTTCCTAAACCTTGTTAGTACATTTAAGCCATTCGTGCAGCACTTAAGCGCACTCGGCGCATTAACAAGATGCGAAGCATATGAATTAATTTTTCATCTGTTCATGTCCGTCATAAACAGAGGTCCTGTCTCCGCTCAGTGCTGAACATCTTCTGCTGCACCCTCCTCAGTCTGTCCGATATGTCTTCAGAGAGATACATTAGAGGTGCATAGAAGAAGTAGATCCCCTGCAATTCGGAGTGAACGGTGTTTGCCCCGTTGCAATTGATAGCAGTCGGCTTGGCTTGATAACCTGCGAATTGAACGTGGCTTCGGTGTTCGTCTTCTAGCATTTGTGGGGTTAAATATACTAATTTGAGCAACTTAACTTCCATATTCTGGCGTTGAGAGCACTTGGAACCGTGAAACATGCAATTTATCAAAAATGCTGTGCGACGATGATTTGGTAGGCAGAATTTCCTGGAACTCCATCATCATATAACATCTCGGAACAGATAATTTGCTTAACATAAGAGACGACATTCTAGAAGAGACAGTGGCAAGCGAACGTTTATTTCGGTAACTCCTCTTCAGGCCAGTACAGTTACATGGGACGGGGTACAGTGAGTGAAAAAAATCGATAAAGTTAGATTTTAAATTCCAAGCTGGGCATGAGCAGAAGGGCGCATAAAATTGTATTTGGTTAGTCAACCTATGACCACGGAAAGCGCGGAGCCTGAACAAGGTTCTTTTGGACGCACAGGGTCGGTTTTCTTAACCTGATGGCGGCCGCTTCTGCTGTTGCTAACAGGCGCTGACCCAGTAGCTTAGTGTAGCTCGAGGGGACCATGTAAATCACAATAAATGCTTCAGCGGCGTCCACACGATGCCCTGAATCCACTGCATGCGCAAGGATGGCGGATTATATTCTCCTAGTTTCCCCTTTTGCCAGCCATGCGTGAAGGCACTCTCGTATTCATTTGGAAATGCGGCGACTCGTATGACCAAAGTAACCTGCTCTTCAGGAGCAAGTGAATGAGTAGATGCACATTGAGGCGGTCTGAGGTGGCAGCCTACCCTTGCCTTCTCCGCGTATTATAGGGTTAGTATAGAA